TTGACCGATTTTAATAAACGATACCTCATTTTGTTGGTTGTTTTATGCACTTTAAGACAACAAATTAAAGCGCCCTGAAAGTGGGAGACGTAATAATGGTAATTACTCTTATTATTATTTCTGGTCTTACATTCATATCTAATTATTTTTGATAATTTCAGAAGACGGACAAGACATGTACAGGGGTGGTCAAAAGTATTTTCACAAATGTTAACGTTAACTGTACTTATATTTTGAACTAATAATAATATAGAAAGAGCACTTCAATTCCGTTTAAATGACACAAAAATGTTCTTAACCCATTAAGACCCCTTTGAAAAGTGAGCAAATTTTGCTAAAGTCAAATTTTCAAATTTTTTTCCTGGGGCTTAAAACAAAAATGTTTTGATGCAAAGTTGTTCCCCAATCAAAATTATTAATAACTGCAAAAAAAAAAATTTCAAAATATTTTCCCTTGTATTTGTTATGATTTTTTGAATGGAGACATCTTAGTAAAATTTTGTATGAAAAGGAAGAAAAAGCGGCTAAAATAGCTATTTTCAAAAAATCATAAAAAATACAAGGAAAAATATTATACAATTATATTTTGTTTGATATTTGTATGAGTAAATTGCACTGGGCAGATCATCAGAGTGTGTGTGCAGTACAGTATACGTGAGAGGCAGAGGATAGGCACAACAATTCCCTATGCTCACTTAATAGGACGCTGCCGACCGCTGTTTTAAACTTAGTTTAATCTGTCCGAGGCAAAATATATGTGAAAAATCACTGTTTTTGAATTATTTCACACTAAAATTCATAAACCTTGTAAGGGCATTACAAAATGTGATGCGTGTATGGCTCAATCAGTTAGTGTGACTACAAATCCAAAAGTCCCGGGTTCAAGTTCTAGATAGGGCGACTTGCCTCAAAAAAAGTAAGTTTGTTTTAATTCCATTTAATTATAATTTATTTGATTACATAATAATTATCAGAAAAATTATTAATTGGATACTAAATTAGGAGAGCGTCAAGTTAGGCATCGTCAAGTTTAGAGATTAATTTTTAATTTTTTCGTGAAAATATTTTTTTTTAGTGTAGTTTAACATCTGTAACCGTAAATTGGTTAATAGTCACTAGTGCAAAACTAGTAGCAAATGGACTAGTTGTTTCCGACGACAAGCATATGAAAAATGGACCACTTCGTTACAAGGAAATGGACATAACTTGAACTAGTTAACCTTCTTGACCCAACTAGTATTTTAATGGTCCAAAACTGATTCCGTTTCCTGCAGGGTAAATTTCCTTTTTCATTTACCGATTCCACAAAAAGAAAGCTTCTAAACAGTTTTCTACTTTATTTCACAGAGACTTTGATACTCAAAAAGTTTTTCGCTGAAACGGAGCAGAAAACAACCGGTCATGCTTGCTGCCGAAATAGAAGTGGAAAATTCCAGATTCAGCGTGCCTATTAAATTTTGTTTTTATGTTATCAAAAATCAAAATGCCTACTTCCTACAAAGTTACAATGAATTTTCTTATATTTGTTTGAATATTCCTTTGGGAGCCTTAAGATATAGTGGTCCGATCCGGCTCGCTCCGACATATGTATGTACTACCTGCAATAGAAAGAAGACTTTCGGGAATAGCTTTAAAACTGAGAGACTGGTTCGCATAGAAACGGACAGAAGGACAGACGGACATGGCTAGATGGACTCCGTTATTGATGCTGATCAAGAATATATATACTTTATGGGGTCGGAAACGTCTCCTTCACTAAACTTCTGACTGAAATCATAATACCCTCTGCAAGGGTATAAAAATAATTTTTTGTGAAATACCGTGAAACTTTGAATTAAAATAACTGTCTTGGGGCAGAGCGGTGCACGGAATCCCTTGGTGGGGACCTATGTAGGTACCAAAGACATTAGAATATGGTCTTTATATTGGTCTTTGTATATCATGTGTTTTAAAAAAAAAAATGCCTTTACGTTTGGTCACGTTTGAAGAAACTTTTGGCCTAATTTACTATACAAAACGTATTAATTATACAGGTAATTTACAAAAAAAAAAAAATAAATTTTTCGTATTTTTAAAAACGAAAAAACAAAGTTTAAACTTTGGCCTCAGATTGGGAGGTTTTTGTAAGACCTACACAGAGAGAATTTTTCATGAACGGTGCATTTAAATTGAGAATTTTCTACTCAAAATAAAACCAAGTACTCACTTAAAGTACAAAATACTCACTTTCAGTACCAATTTTTTAAACAAGAAAGGAAGCTAGCTTGGGCTGGACTTGCAGAACATTCCTATTAACTTGAAAATCGCAAATATATTTTAAATTTCGTATTGTTTTGACATTAATTTTTTTTTAATTTTTTGACATTCCTAGAGTAGGAGAGAATAGAATAAAAATCAACGAAGCTATAATTTGTTTCCAATTAATTTCCCATTAATTTTTAAATCGTTCCTATGACAGCTATATGATATAGCCGTCCAATTAATTTCCCATTAATTTTTAAATCGTTCCTATGACAGCTATATGATATAGTCGTCCGATTTTGATGAAATTAAAATTGAAATTCGGAAATATTTAAAAAGAGTCATATCCTAGAGTAGAAGAGAATACAATAAAAACCAAGGAAGTTAGAATTTATTTCCTACTACTTTTCCATTAATTGTCCGATCATTCCTATGGCAACTATATGATATAGTCGTCCGATTTTTTAAATATCTTATTCAAAATTCGGAAATATTTAAAAAATAATATTTCCAAGAGTAGAAGGTTTTATTTCAAAAAACACCGAAACTAGAATTTTTTTAACGTTTTCTTCCTATGGGAGCTAAAAGATATAGTTTTCCGATCCGGTCGGTTCTGACTTATATACTACCTGCAATAGAAAGAAGACTTTTGGGAAAGTTTCAAGCCGACAGCTTTAAAACTGAGAGACTAGTTTGCGTAGAAACGGACAGATAGACGGACGGACAGACGGCCAGACGGACATGGCTAGATAGACTCGGCTATTGGTGCTGATCAAGAATACATACACTATATACGTCTCCTTCACTGCGTTGCACACTTTTGACCAAAATTATAATACCCTCTGCAATAGTATACAAGCGACCATATAAAATTTTACTTTCTGGGTTCTGGAGTTATTAATGAAAGGATTTAAAATATTTTAAGGACTTCTGGTTGGAAATTTTTTTAACGGTATTTTAAATTTATTTTATTTAAAAAGAATGGGTTGACGAGAAAATTAACCAGACTTTTTAAGAATATTAACTAATCTTTATTTAATTGCCACACATAAAAACAGATTATTACTCAGTTATCGTCCTCTCCTCAGAATTCGACAGGCTTGGGCTGTGTTTGCTATCGAAAAGGCTGACATCCTTCTCAAAAAGCTGCGTCGTGTGCATTCATGTGGATGCGCGCTTGTGGGTAAAAGTGGGCGTAGCAGCTCACCTCGATAGCTCGCATGGAACGTCCCGAAAATGTGTGTAAGCTACTGCGAACATATTCGCACAGCTGCGCAGCATGGCATTAATTTCCGTTAATTAAAATAAATACGTCATGCGATAATAAATGATGGCGTGGATATTAAGCGTACACTCCGAAAGCGTGCTCTAAAACGACCCAAAAGACAGACGCTGCCTTCAATTAGAAGACCTCTCCACCCCAAGTACTTGCATTGCTGGTGCCAACTCCTGTATCTAATTTTTGCTCCGCAAAGCGCAGCAATTAATGGGATAATTGATTTGGCCACAGCCAACATAAATTTCTGCCACGGACAGCAGATTGGCAAATCCAGAAAAACCTGCTCTGAAGGACCTGTGCTTGTGGTCCTCTCGTGTCGTATTGCAGCGCATAAATTCTATTCAAACGCTGCTATGTGTCAGCACATATGCCGGTCCTGCCAGGCGTGCGATGTACGTCCCGCCTCGACAAATGCGAGGGATGGTGAGCCTGCCAAATAGCCGGGCCAAAGCTCAAATGACTGAGGAGCAGGCGACAATGATGTACCCGGTGAGCCCTGCAGGGGCAAACAAAAGATTATTCTTGCCCTTGCTGGCGCTTCTTGGTCGCAGAACTCACACTCAGTGAGGGGAGCAGCAACAGATGCTCGGCAGATTTCCAGCCGGCTGGGGCTATGCCCCTGCTATTGAAATGTTGCAGTAATGAAAAAAATGTCAACTTACACGTAGCATGGCGAGGGACGTATGTAGCCGTAGCTATGGCCGATGCTGAAGCTGAAACTGAAGTTGAGGCAGACACTGAAGGTACGCTCAACAAAAGCGACAGCGACAACAAAACATGTGTCAACTGCCAGACATCCTGAGCAATATTAATAACACTCGGCGAACATATTTTTCATTAAAGCTGCAAGGAGATGTCACCCAGGCGATACACAACACAACATGTGGCATCTGGGCGGGCTTACGCTTTAAGGAAGATTATGCAAAGCTTTCCCACAGACTAACAAGAGGAAATTTAATAAATGTAGTTATAAGGGCGATTAGCGGCCATTTTGAGTTCCACCCGAGCGCAAAGGCGGCCTTAAAAAGTTTCTCACATAACCTTCGTGACGCTTCCGCAAACAGACACTTGCCCCCCCTTGAAATTGAAACAGCGCAGCCCAAGCCTATGAGGAACGTCTTAATTGCCATTAAGAAGCCGTCTACGGCTTTTGCAAACTTTTTCATAATTTATGCAGACAGGAAACCTAGCATATGGAAATAAGCACCGCCCGGCCGATGCAGTTTCATGATCAAAATCGGTGTATCGAAATTCTGGAAAACATTGTAGAAATGTGAACGCTCTAGTCAAGTGCTTTGATTGGTTAATTAAACATAACGCAGCGCAGCGGAGAAATTCTCAAGTGAATAATTAAAATACAGAAACTTAAAAAAAACTTTTCGACCTCATCGAAAACTTCATCTACAAAAATGTCACAAATTCGGTAGGCTACGGTCTATATAAGCCTGGCGCCCGCGGGCCGTAGCACACTTGCCTCAAGATGGTCTTTAAGCTAATACGACCTGCTCCGCTCACGGAGCAAAAGCGGTCTCGCGATGGCTGCATTTATCTGTACCGGGCCATGAAGTTCATCGGGTGGCTGCCACCGAAGGAGGGCGTGATGCGATATTTGTACCTTACCTGGACGCTGATGACGTTCGTGTGGTCCACAACGTATCTGCCGCTGGGCTTTCTTGGTAGCTACATGACGCAGATCAAGTCCTTCTCCCCAGGCGAGTTTCTTACATCGCTTCAGGTGTGCATCAATGCCTACGGTTCCTCGGTGAAGGTGGCCATTACATACTCGATGCTCTGGCGCCTGATCAAGGCCAAGAGTCTGCTGGACCAGCTGGACCTTCGCTGCACCACCATGGAGGAGCGCGAGAAGATCCACCGAGTGGTGGCGCGCAGCAACCACGCCTTCCTCATCTTCACCTTCGTCTACTGCGGATATGCGGGCTCCACCTACCTTAGCTCTGTGCTGAGCGGACGACCGCCATGGCAGCTGTACAACCCGTTTATCGACTGGCATGACGGCACTCTGAAGCTCTGGGTGGCCTCCACTCTCGAGTACGTGGTGATGTCAGGCGCCGTACTGCAGGATCAACTATCGGACACGTATCCGCTCATTTACACCCTCATTCTCCGCGCCCATTTGGACATGCTGAGGGAGCGTATCCGACGACTTCGATCCGACGAGACAATGAGCGAGGCCGAGAGTTACGAGGAACTTGTTAAATGTGTAATGGACCACAAGCTGATTTTGAGGTATATTACACTTAAAGCTAGAGTTAGAGCGACTAACGATTACTTTGCGCATCAGATTCTGCTCAATCATCAAACCAGTTATTTCTGGGACAATCTTCACACAGTTTCTATTGTGTGGCCTGGTTTTGGGCCTGACGCTGATCAATGTGTTTTTCTTCTCGGACATCTGGACTGGCATCGCCTCCTTTATGTTTGTCATAACCATTCTGCTGCAGACGTTCCCCTTCTGCTACACCTGCAACCTCATTATGGAGGACTGCGAGTCCCTGACCCACGCCATCTTTCAGTCCAACTGGGTAGATGCCAGTCGCCGCTACAAGGCAACGCTAATGTATTTCCTTCAAAATGTGCAGCAGCCTATCGTATTCATTGCTGGCGGCATCTTTCAGATATCCATGAGCAGCAACATAAGTGTAAGTGCATGCGAAAATATTTCATGCTCCTAGCACTGTTTCTCATTTCCTACCCCACCTTTAGGTAGCAAAGTTTGCTTTCTCTGTGATAACCATTACCAAGCAAATGAACATTGCCGACAAATTTAAGACAGACTGAGCTAATGGTCGTACAAATAATATTTTTGAGTCAATTTTTTCCTCCCGTTCTTCCCTACAACACGACTCCCCTAAACACACTCCTTTAAACAATGTGTTTTCTGTTAGCTTACCTTTCAAACGAAAAAAAATAAAGAGTAAAAATCGAAAATAAAACCAAAAGGTTCCTGTGACCAGGATTTAGTTGTGTTGCTTACTTTTTGAAGATCACATTTCCTTTTTTCTTTTCACGCGAGTCGGCGATTTAAAGACAAAGAAGAGAGAACGCTATAGTGGTAGCCTAAGTTACTCAGCTATTGGAGTGCATAACTCATAACTTCGATAACTATTATATTATAACTTCTTATGTGTAATTTTGTGTATTTAAAACCAGGGTTTCAAAAACTGTGAGCTGAGGAGCAAAAGTACCTATATTTCTATGCTTTGCTGTTACTGTGAGATCAAACAAATTTTTATAGGAATGCAAAGCAAAAGCAAAAATATGAAATGTCAAAATAGTTTAACATTTGCTTTGCTTTGGCTTTTGGAAGCACAGCAACATCACTATGGACGGCAGTCCATGTAGTGACGAAGCGCACCAGGAGAGTGTGCGAAGGCGACTACTATATATACACGAAGAAATGAAAATCTACTGTGATGGTCCGATCATAATGAATGATACACCTATCGAAAGGTATTGCAAAAACTAACAGGATTGCATATCAAGACTCTAAGAAAATCAATTGGCTTGGGAGAGAGAGCGGTGAAAGTGAAAAAGTGAATATTTCGAAATTTGGAGCTGTTGGGGCCGGTGGGGATAAATGCCCCCTCTCAATGTTTTATTTGTATTCCTTTTGAAAATACCCGTCGAATGAGGGGTCATTTGTCAAAATCCGACGCTCCGTTCAAGTTATAGCCAAAATAAGATTTTCTTCGTCTTCCCAAAATGAAAATTTAATTCTGTTTGTCAGTTTGTCCAAAACATATTTTTTAAGTTTTGAAAATTTGATATGACGTTCATCACATCGATATAAAAAACTTTTGTTCTACCACTTTTGGAAAAACTCGCTAGTTTAGCAGGAAAACAGCTATAAGTAGCTAAAATTCGGAAAGCCGTAACTTCTATACTACTAAAGCTTGTGCTGCATCTCGTTTGAAAGGTATTTTTAAATGCTATAAACGCCTTCTACATGCAATTTGTGTAAATGTAATACTTAAAAAAATATGAACAAAAGACAATTTTTTAAAACTTTTTTTTAGATTTTTTTTATTTTTCTCAAAAACAGCTCTAACGATTTTCTTTAAAACCTTAAACTGTATAGCCCTTGAGATTCCTTAAATTTTGGTATATAACTCATTACTGTAAAAAGTCACGTTTAAAAGTTATTTTTATTCGAAAATAGCCACTTTTGCCAGCTCGAACAATTAACGCTCCCTGAGTATTGAATTTTGTGGGAGGGTATCCGAACTGTATTTTAGGGTCATGGAATCAGTAAATTTGCACTTAAGAGTTCCATATAGGAATCTTTTGTTCTACGACTTTTGGAAAAAGCCGCTACTTTAGCGGTAAAAAGCTAAATATAGCTAAATTTCGTTAGTTTGTAAGTTCTACACTACTAAAGGTACCGACATGTGCTATACATCGTTTAAAAGGTATTTTGAAATACTTAAACGCCTTTTTAACTTATTTTGCTTAAATACAATGGCTTACAAATTATGATTGACCAATTTAAATTTAAATGTACACAGAGAAAAAAAAATACCAAAACTGGTCATCATTCGGGTATTTTTTCATATCAATTTCGGCCAATATGAGGCCATACCAAAATGATATTTTCGAACATACCAAATTGGTATTTTCGAACATATTAATAAGGTATTTTTCATACAAGATTGTTGTGATCTCATATCAAATTTTGCTACAAAATTTTGTATTGTATTTTCTCTAACTCAGAAAAGCATTCTGCCACGAAAAAAAAAATGTCGGCATGGCTCAGAGGCCAAGGTGCTAGGTCATGATATTATTTTGTGCTCGGGGGAACGGGGTTCAAATCCCGCTCACAACACAACACAACTTTTTTTTTTTATTAGTAATCTTATCATATTAACTTTTTACAACAATTTTGTTCTTAATATTGTTAAGGAAATGTTAATTATGCGCCTTAAAAACTTTTTACTTTCTCTGCCTTAGCCGGTTTTGAACCGGGGTCCTGTCGCATCAGAGTCGGATGCGTTACCTATTGGGCCATCGCGACAAGTTACACGCGAGTATATTAGCTAAACTTGAATGTAAAATTAGCTCGTTTAAGCATGCTCAACTTGTAAGTGTGACCACAGCATATAAAGCGCTATAATACCATTGTATACCAGAAATACAACAAAAATACAACTTTACAGCCATACTATTTTTTCGAAGACTTTTCGATGCCCCATTTGATATGAAAATCATATCAATCTTTGAAGTATTCATATTAATATGTTACGGATTCATATCAACATGGGTAATTGTTATGATTTCGTATCATATTGGTATGAATTCGTATTACATTTATATGGAAATATTGATATGTACAAATTGAGGAGACAATATCAATCTGGTATTGTTCCGTTTTTTTCTCTGTGTATGTACAGTGGCTCACAGCTTATTTCAACCAGTCTACACCAAAAACTTTAACAGCCCATAAAAACTAAACAAAACATGTTATCAAAATAATTTAAACGCAGAATACATCTATGAGGATACACATTAGTGTATAATAATTTTATTATTTTTTAAATATTTTACAAATATTTTTTATGAATTAATTATAAAAAAAGCCCAAAAAAAAAGCCACAGCTTATTTCAACCAGTTAACAAAAAAATCGAATAAATTAACATAGTGGCCAAAACCTATATTTTTTTTAATTTGGCATGACTACCCTTTTGTCTACCAACAATTTAAAGTTAACTTTATATGCATATAAAAAAAAATTGTATCCATGGATACAATGCCTTTTGTTGTTGTTGCCAAGTAAAAACTACTCCCGACCCTTGGGAAGGACTTTTGGCATAGTTTCGTCTAAAAATATTGTGCTTTCTAACATTTTTTCGTTAAGTGGACTTCCAATATTGTTTTGTGGTAATGTTAAGACACATTTAATTCATAATCATTAGCTTTCGACAGCTCTGGATGAGCTGAATCTGCGAAAAAATATGCACTTCCCATGGAGTGAAATCAAAAATTAATTTATATTTCAAAATCCTTTCAGTTTTTAATTCATTTATCCTTTTGAATGTGAAGATGAACTCAAATCTTAATCGCGGAGTAAAAAAAAAAAATTATGGAAGGACCTGTTTGACACTTATAGGCCCAAAACAATTAGCGTTCGCCGCTAGGCTTAGGGCTCATTTGGATACACACGAGAAACTCACTTATTTGTGTCCTTAGTATGTTTGAAAAAATGTATTTGAAAGAAATACTTGAATTTTGATACATTTGAGTCGGAAAACAAGAGAGAACGCTATAGTCCGGTGCCCCGACTATCAGATACCCGTTACTCAGCTAAAGGGAATGCGAAGGAGATGGAGATAAAAACTTTGATCCGCCGTAACTTTTTAACGAGTGGTCCGATTTAAAAAATGTCTTCTACATTTCGATACACAGATAAAAAAAACCAAGAACATTGCACTCAAATCAAGAACAATCGTTCTTAAAAACCGGGTAAGCACAAATGTTCTCATTTCGAGTTGAATGTTCTCAATATCAGAACGAAATGGTGTTAGCTAAAAATCCGACATTAAGTTCACTTCGTTCTATTTTCAAGTTGATTTTGTTTTTAATTCAAGAACATTTTTAAATCAAATGGATACAAATATAGGTTCATTTGTTCTATTTTCAGCACTTTTTTCTCTCAATTCTATAGCATTTTGAGTTTGATTTTAGCTTAGGATAAGAGTAATTTATAAGTAATATTAAAAAGGTAGTTGTCCAATTACACCTTATAAAGGTGCGTGTTGCACTTGACTTCCAGCTAGTGTGAAAGTTTATTAAAGACTTAAGCCAGAAAAAAAGTCTTAAAGTCTCAGAATCTGACTTGGCCTTGGTTCATGAAGGGCTAGAACCAGTTCGGAATTATATATAAGACGAAAAGGGCAAATCTAATGGTAAGGTCGTATTGGAGCAAAGGAAAATGGTCTAATGCGTGCTAGGTGTCAAACAAAAACATCATAACGCGTTCTAGGAAATCCAAACAAATTAGAGAATAGAGTTTTTAATCATTTTAAGTTGAAATGCAACTAAATTTTTGTTCTTTCTTTAGTCTTTTTCGTTCTTAAACTAAGAACATTTTCAGATATTGTGGTTTTTGAGAACCAAATCGATTTTATTTAAGAACCATGTGCTAAAATAATAACGATTCGTTCTTATTTCAAGAACATTTTAAGCTCAACTAGATTTTAAGAACCAATTCAACTTAATCCAAGCACATTTAAAACATTTTAAACTTGAAAAAGGCCTTTCTATTTTTAAGAACATTTTCAACTCAGATGAGAACGTCAGAATTTTCTCTGTGAACGAAATTTAGCTATTTTTAGCTTTTTCCCGCTAAAGTAGCGGCTTTTTCCAAAAGTCGTAGAACAAAAGATTCCTATATGGAACTCTTAAGTGCAAATTTACTGATTCCATGACCCTAAAATACAGTTCGGATACCCTCCCACAAAATTCAATACTCAGGGAGCGTTAATTGTTCGAGCTGGCAAAAGTGGCTATTTTCGAATAAAAATAACTTTTAAACGTGACTTTTTACAGTAATGAGTTATATACCAAAATTTAAGGAATCTCAAGGGCTATACAGTTTAAAGTTTTAAAGAAAATCGTTAGAGCTGTTTTTGAGAAAAATAAAAAAAAGCTAAAAAAAAAGTTTTAAAAAATAGTCTTTTGTTCATATTTTTTTAAGTATTACATTTACACAAATTGCATGTAGAAGGCGTTTATAGCATTTAAAAATACCTGTCAAACGAGATGCAGCACAAGTCTGTAGCTTTAGTAGTATAGAAGTTACGGCTTTCCGAATTTTAGCTACTT